CAGGAGAAAATGGTGGATTTCGGAACAGTGTCCAAACCGGAGCTGAACAGCTTACTGTACTATCGTTACCATGGGAACTACTTTCTAGGAACTACTTTCTGACGGAGATTAACTCAAGCAGAAAGCGTAGGTTTTGGAGCAAATTAGCCCACATTATGAAATTATTTTACGATATTGTTGATTACAATGATAGTTTGTGTAATAGAATCGCAATCATACACTTGAGGCCGTTCTTGAACGTCATTAGTGGTACGACAGTACGCCTGTACTGTACTGTACTGTACCTCTCGTGTATGATTGCTTAAGTCACATACTTGCATCTTTGTCTCTTCTTGTCAAATACTCGAGTGTGAGGCACTGATTATCTACAGCATACTCTTTAACTTTGTGTTGTCAATTGTAAAGGTATTTTGCACATAAGTTGTTAAATGCACAAACATAAAAACAAAAAAACATATGTGCTTCAAAAGGATACAATATTTAGCCTTCAGCATACAGGTGGTTAAGATTGTAGCCATTACATTATCATAATAATTCAGACTGTAGCTTTCACGGTATGGGCAGTTAAGAATTAGGGGCTAATTGATAATCAATCTCTGAACCCCTTTCTAAATATCAAGTACACCTAAACTCTCCTCTCACTTTCCTCCAATCTGTTGCCCTGTGGTTTGTATGAAGCCTCAGAGATGTATTTGAGTGGAGTTAAAGAAAATGTGGGTCGTGTATTACTGGCCAACCGAAATCTGGAGTTCTATCTTGGGTCTTCCTCTCTCTGCCCTCGCTCATTCGCCTCATCTGCTCTCTCTTTCTAATTAGCTCCTACAGCGAGTGCAGACTGGACAGGGTCCTATAATGGAGCCAGATGTTCGAGGAGATTTCACCCCGCAGGGGGATGTTTTGTTTACTACAGGATGAAAACAGCTCTCTTGCCCTCGCTTTCCTTTCGGGGTTGTTTATGTGCAAAACCACATTTCACCTCCTGCTCTGCTTGACTTTCAGATGCCAAGAACCAGTTGAAACGTTAACCTTTTAAAGTTATTTAGTTCACTGAAAGGCTTTTTCTGACAATACTTTTGAACTCCAAAACATCACAAAATATGCCTGCCATATTCTTTTAGATAAATAACATAATCCATACCGTTGGAATCCATATTGGCTGCTTCATCCCTTACATTCTCTGTTCTCCCCTCATCCAACAAAGCGTGACAACCATTATCTAGCTCAACACTTATCAACACAACATTGACATGTAACCCATTTATAGGATGATTAGTTTAGCTTCGGTGTGGCCTGCCGAAGGATCAGTCTTAATCAGCAGAGAGACGGGTCTCTCAACAGCCACTGCAGAAAAACAAATGAAGACACTTTGAATCAACTCCATCTGCATCTCAGACTCTGGGAGCAGGATTAGGAGGCCGAGTCGATGTGCACTGTCAGTGGCGGATGTGTGATTGGACAGTAATACCCTCGTACTCATCAGCATCTTGAGATCCACAGAGGTTGTAATTGGGTAGTGCGATCAGTCCAATAGCATTGGAGGCAGTGGAGGGCTTTATAAGAATCAGGCAGAAATGAGATGAACGGCTAGGGGATCTTAAAGTGATCTAAAAACTAGACCTCAGCAATGTTTATGAATATTTACAAAATAGTCTCTTCGGATCAGTTAAGTAAGGACAAAAACTGTTAAGAAATGCATTCAATTTGCCCTGGAACAAACTGTGTTAGTATACATTGTTTTATCATTTGAACAACAACAACATATTGGAAGAGTGAGTAGTTCAGCGCCGTATATACCGTACCGTTGTGTTTGTTTTTCTTAATTTAGGATAAGGTTGTTGAGCTTTTTTTAGAAATGCTTTTCTCTCGAGCACATCTGTCTCTTTTCAACTCTCCTCGGCACAAAACACACGCTTTCGCTTTCTTTCAAATCTCACTAACCTCATTCTGGTCTCTTAGCGAGGAAAAGCACAATCACATTAGCATGAAGTCAAATCTGCCTTTTGTGAAATGCCAATCCAATTAGCGCGTTCTCGTTTAGCTCACTCTTCCTAAATGGAGGCTTTTGCGTCTTTTACAAGGATGATGCGCAGTAACAGACACATTTAGTAAACACTGCGGCCCTCAGGCTTTCCTCTGGGACAATTCAAACTAGGTGGCTAATGAAACAGATCCATGAAAACAGTGGGGAGCCTTGAGGGGGGGCATGTGGAACACAGGCACACAAAAGAGTGGGGTCTCCTGGGAAAGGGAACGGAAAGAAAGGATGATCCTTGTCGGTGGGGAGAGGCGGGACTTTAAAGCCCCAACAATATTGATTGTGGATAATCACCTTAATGACAAGTACTAACACAGAGACACCCAAATGAACAATCTGTTCGTATTAACAGGAAAGAAACAGGAAGTAAGAAGGCAAGCTAACAGGTTTGCCCAATTATCTCAAAAGCTTTATTTCGAACTTAATCCAAAAGTGACTGCAGCCATTTATCTGAATACCTGAAACACATTAAAATGGCGGTTCAATGTGAATCCAGGAAGACAGACATCAAACACTGATTAATGTTTATCTTTTCGTCTCTGCGCAATACGTCAATTTAGGTGGTACCCCAATGATTCCGTCAATGCGAAAGAGACTTCTTCCTAACTGGTTGCAAAGACTAAAAGCGCTATATAAGTACAGACCATTTACCGTTTAATTGAAGATATAAATGAAACGGAAAAAAATCGAATCAATACAATTTTCTTTCATTTAGTGAGAGCACAATATAAACCTCGGGTGTTAATACTCAATACATTTAGTATCTCACCAAAATGTGCGTAGTGGACGTTTGATGCCAACCACTAATGAGAAGCTTTACCTTGTCTGACTCTAAAGGCTGCTGGTCCTTCGTTTTGAACTTTGAGTTTTTTTTAGCAAGTTTCTGGAGTGTATATGGCTGGGAGGAAACCCAGCAGACCTCAAATTATCCTCCTCCTTTTCCATGGTCTTTTCATCATTTCAGCTCTCTTGCACACCATTCCTTTACTCTTGGACATTTTACCCACAGTTATATCTGTTCTCGCTTGCACATTATTTTCTTGCTTTCTTCTTCTCTCCTCGCTCCGGTCCCTGCTTCTGCCAATTTCATGCCAGGCCAGTCCTTGGAGAATCACCAAGGGCATTGGAAACAATCAGACGACTCTTCCCACTCCTAAAAAACAAACCCAAAATCGCCATAATCAACCATTTACTTTCACTCTGTCACAATTAAAAAGCTGGGTGGAAATTATTTTTAGACATGGCTCTCATTTCCTATTTCAAATTTCACAGTTCAAGATTATTTATCTAAAAGCAGCACTGTGCAAGTGCGCATTCTGTGGCCCGCAGCTATTTTCCACATGGGCAACCGTGAAGTCATATTGACACTAAACATATGGTCGGCCCTGTTTTGAGATACACTTGCAGACTCCCAACGTTTCACTTGTCTTAATGAATAATACCATGGTGGATTCCAGCGTCTGGAATCAGTGGAATTTTTCAACAGCACCAACAGTGCTTTCATGCATGAATTAACGTGCATTTCCATTTGGACATGGTGCTGGGGAACACAACGGTTTGTAATTTCATTTGCAATATTATGAGGGAGGAACTAAGAAAGAGAACCTTCCCTCTTGTAATAAGTGGCCCATTTTATGTTGATATCCATTCCAGTCCAGCCGAGTACATCCCTGCACAGTAAAAAGATTGAAGCATTTCAGCAAAATCAATGATATTTTACGGTACTAAACCGCCAATCCTTAGTGATATATGCCTTTGTTATTGAAATGCATCTCTTTCACAGAACCCTGGCTCCGTATCAAGACTGCAGCTATTCCTGTGTGCACTGAACGGAAGAAACCTAATACTAAGTGACAGGATAGGAAATGAAAATAATGAGATCTCACAAATATAGTTTGGAAGACAAACCGTCAACTCCTGCTCAGATAAAAAGAGATATTTCTGTCCACAGGCCTAATTTCAGTGACCTCTGAAGGTGCAGTGCGAGGGGATTTGTGTATATGTGCACGGCTGAAAGAAAAAAAAGTGCTTTCTTGTTTATGCTTTTTTTGAAGGTCATATTGAGGAGCAGAATTACTTGGTTACTTCCATGCCAAGATGTGACTCTCGAGACAGCCAAACAGGAAACTCTCTAAAAGATAAGATAAGCTCACAGTCCAGTGTGTTATAATGAGGGACCATCAACTGAGAAAAACAAGACTAATGGCGCCATTATACCCTGTAAGAACTGCTAGTCGGAGAGCTTTGGAAAACCCTTTTCCCTCACATCTTACCAATGGATAATTTTTTTAGGGGCAGTTTGCGACAATTTCTGTAACTTTCCGAAACCTACAATCGGACACCCTCACTTTGAAACACCATCTTTGGTGTCTACAAAAATATTATGGTAATAAGTGTAGTATTGGCCATGCTTTGGTAAATCCAAAGTCTTTGACACATGTTGACTTCTTCGTGGCTTTCGATGAAAATGTAAGGTATTTCTGAAGATAACCGCATGTATTCTTAGGTTGTCATCAATGTGTGTACCAAGAAACCTTCAAATCAAAATTAGACATTTAAAACACAAACATCAAACATGACGTTCTAGACTAAAGTTCAGAGGATTAAAAAAGTCAGTAGGAGTCATCTTCTTGGGACCTTACGTTTCTGATCAAAACTTGATATGGAATATGGTTATGGTTTTTTCCGATGTTTTTTGTTTGGATTTTCTGAATTAACTGCCTTGTTCGACGTTCTGTTACTCAAATATGTTGACTTTTATAGCAGTTGTTATAAAATACAGCCACATGAGAGCCTAATGTGTTTGTGATTTTAGTTAAGCTTGTATTTTAAAAGTATCAAATACAAAATAGAAAGGAAAAACACGTTTTTTTACACACATTGTTCTTTTCCCCTCCATTTAACAAACATCTGCCCTCTTTGATGACTTTCCTGGTTTAATGACCGTTCTTAAAAGTTTATTTTAGCAAGCCCAGCCGATTAAATGTGATGATGTCAGTGGGTTGTGTTTTCCTTGATCTTGACGATTCAAAACTCTAAAACCCTATTAAGACTGATTAGCGGTTTGTTGAGGTTGTGCTTTTGTATGCATTTCTGTCATGCATAAATCTTGACAAACGGCCTCTTGGCGCACACCACACTGTGTATGATGTAGTCCACGCACAAATCACAGCTTTGCAGCCTCAGGGCTTGCTGATTAGCTTGCTGCGTCTGACTTTGGTAAACTTGAATGTTGAATGACTAGTAGCACAAACTGTGAAAAGAAGAAAAAAAACCTAGACTGTGACAACTGCTCATTAGCTCCCAAAAGCATGTGAAATGGCATTATTTCTGTTACCTCTGCTCATTTTCACATACAACAAATTGCCTCTATTTTTGCAGAATCCAATCGTCCCATCGACAGGTTATAGAGAACCTCCGTATTACAAAATCACCACAACAGCAAACACAGTGCAAAAGTCAGCGCAGGGACCCCTATCTGTTTGCAGACAGATATTACAATTACATTTGCTGGATACAGCAGAAAATAAGCAGACATGTATTAACTGATAAGACAAGACTTCAGGCATAACAATAACATACTTTGATGAAGTATTTAATCCACTGAAGGATCTTTTTGAGTATATCAGAATGCAAAACGCTCACTTTGTCCTCCGTAAGTAAACTACTTTAGAATGGCATTGGCCTTGCTCACCATATGCTTCTCGAAAGTTTCCAGTCAGTCGTACCTGCCCTCATAACTTCAATGCCAACCGTACCGTAACTCCGTCTTGAAATCTACTTCTGTTAATTATGAGGGAGGATGACCGCTGTACGGTAAAGGTTCGCGGGACAAGGAGCAAACATAAAGGTGCAGGTTAAGTGACAGGACAGATGGTCTGAGTTTACAACCAAAGTCACTTTAGCTAGTTGGACTCATTTCACCTTCCTATATTGTACTGCAGTTGGTGTATAGGCAACAAAGTAAACTAATTGTACAGGTTTTTAGGAAAGTTTTGGTTGGATTTACTGTGAATATCATATTGTTGGGATCTGTATCAGAACATTAGATACAGTACATAGAATATTACGTAAAATGTGCAGTTCAACAATGTCAAATATTCCATTTCAACTTAAAGTTCTATCAACAAATTGTACTTCAAGTATCAGTGTGACTCAAATGGTGGGACATAATGTTGAAAACAAAATGGAAATATAATCATTTGCTAAATTGATCAGTTTTGTCCAATGTTTCACCATTTTGGAATTTTATTCACCTTTTGTTAGCAACATTTTACCATTGGTGCAGATTGACACGTAGCTAATGTTCTGACTACTTTATATACTTCTACCTAACTATATATCGTATATAGTAAGTCCAGTAGATCACTGTCTAGGGTCAGGCCAATCAACAGAATTAACCTACTTACTCATGGGCGTCATGATATGATTAACTTTGAAGAAAAAGTGTTATTTCTGCTACATACAATTGAACAAATCTAAAATTTGCTTTAATGTAAAATATTCCAGATGAAACTGGTTATAAGTAATACATATGTAACACATACAGTATCAAGAGACCCCAGAGATGGCCTTTTTGTGTTCTTAAGAATGACAATATGCGTTTTATGGAAGTGTAGCAGAAAATTGAAATACTTCGGTAAATAACAACAAGATTAAATCTACTGAATACCTTCTCACCTCTGGACTATTGGTCCTTTTTATTTCACAAAAAGTTTCATTGTTGTAGTTCCTCATAGCACAAGACAGTGAATGAGTGTTGAGAAATATGTTTGCAATATTCTAAGCTATTTTCTAGAAAGTCTGTTCAATTTGTTACCATTTATTTAATTTCCTAGGATTTAGACACAAACAATGAGGTGATAACCAAAGCCTAAACCCCCGCAGGTTTAGCCAGCAGAGAAGACACTGATTATGAATCATGGTTGCTTAGAAAAGCATCATAACACCGTTCCTGTCTTCCAGGAATATTTCCTTTCAGATTTATTACCGTTGTTTCTCTCTTCTGATGTGATTGACGGCTGAGAATGCAGTTAGTGGAAGTAACTGACAAAAACAATCAAAGGCTGTGCGCTCATTGTGATGGATTACCCGCACTAAACTTGATTACCTTTCTGGAAGTTTGTACAGTGTGTTTTTTCTTTACTGTCAAGGATCTAAAACGCGTGAGGTGGCTAACTCCAGGGGAAATAAACAGACACCCACGAGCGATAATGCAGAGGACAGTCTAGACAAGTTGCGAAAATCCCATAATCATGTTGGCAAGGTGCTTAAGATGCTGTAAATGGGAGGGCAGCGTCTTTAAAGCAAAGTGAAAAAACTCTGTGTGCATATCAGTATCGAACACTCTCACGCTTGCGAACAACCTGAGTGCATTTTATTGGCAAAGTTTGCCTTAAAGATGAAATCATTCCTCTGTGTTCCTGTGCAGTGCGAGCACTATCTGCCTGTTCAGGCTGATGCGTTCATATACACTCTGGACTGCAGCACAGATGGATATTGATGACAGTGCAATACCAATTGGTGTAATTAATGCCCAGGTTATATTGGAAGGACATGGACAGCGACGTGGGCCATTTATCACCAGTGGGCTTGCTTATTCTCGCCCCATTGAGCCATTGGTGTAGGCTGGCTGAGCAGAATCTTAATTGCAGGCTCAACACGACACCCCCTCCATGCCTAAAGACAGGGGGGACACGACGGGAAAGTCAAACAGTCAGCTAACCTTCTCGCCTCCTCCTTTTTTTTCCTTTCATTCGGCACCCATCGCCTCTGCACAGCGAGCGTCGAGGGAGAGAAGGATAAATACACGTCTGAGGGCGAGAAGAGCACACATGCCGACACGTACAGTATGGGCGGCAGGATACCGGAGAGAAAACAGGGTGAGACCATCACACTCGCGACAGGACTTGAAGTGGATTAAAGAGCTCCTGCAGAAATATGTATTGGCCCCTCTAACTGACTGGGAAGACGATTGACCCCCAAAGCAAACATGTTCACTTCTCCTGCAGTACAAACCATTGTGAGAAAAAAAAAGGCGCCAGTGTCTGTATATACCACAAATTGTGCCATTGTCAGGGTCCTGGTAGAAGGTGTGCAATTCAAAGATGATTCCCAGCAAGAGAGATCCCCACTGCTTTACATGCACAGCATCCATTCAAACCATCAGCCTGGCACAACAATTTTGGTGAAAAATATCCATGGGGGTTTCACACTAATAACCGTCTTTTTTTTTGGTTTAAGAGTGAAGAGGTGAGATTGCTAGGGGCTGGTCAGAGGGGTGCCTAATTGAAAACATGGATGTCAGATAGTGCAGTATAACACGGTACAGCAGAGGAGCAGGCACCCTGGGAATACCAAAGAGTGCTTATTAACAGCCCCATGCTTTACTGTGTAAGAGGAAAGAAGGGGAAATTAACTGTGGTAGGAAGTATGAAATCATTTAAAGGTCACCTATTATGCAAAATCCACTTTTTCAACATGTGATCCCCTCTGTGGAAAGAGATTCTGAAAGTTTCAGGAAAAGATATTTTTTTTGTCCTGATCCATTAAAAAAAAAATCTGTCTGCAAAATGAGCTGATCAGATTTTGGCCACTTTATGATGTCATAACGATTTTTTGGCTTGTGTAAAAATTAGCCAATCACCAACCAAGGTAACCTCCCCCCCACCTTATCACCTGAATCTCCTCCTAGAGCACCATTGTGTTCTTTGTAACCAAATATCTCTCAGTGGGGCGTGGGGAGGGGCTCCTTATTTTCATCTGAAGTAACAGACAGAGAATCAGCACTTTTGAAACAGAGGGGATTATGGGATGCTGCAACGATCTGTTTGGTGTTTGGACCCAAACACTCCAGAGACATGTTTTGTATATATCTGAGACCTATAATATATTGATAAAAAACAGTATAATAGGGGACCTTTAAATAATATTTTAAATACGTACAGAAAGCACCTGGGAAACAGCAAGACGCAGGCAAATACAGTATGTGCCAAATGTTTGCGATGTTTATCTAGAAAAGTCCTTCCTCGGTGCATCTTCGCAAACACAGGCAATGAGGAGGATATTGTGTTTTTGCACAACATTACATCTCTCTGTGTCATTTCACCATTAGTTCATATCTCCAGCGACTAACTGTCCGCCCTGCCATCAGCGGGTGAAAAACGCAAATATTTCACTCCATTATGAGATGCATGGCAAACAAGACGCATGCCCCCCCCCTCCTCCCCCACTCTTTCTCCAAACCACTTGTGTCAATACAGCGGAGGGGAGATCTAATGTGTTATGATAGACTGCCGACCTTTCTCTGTGATCACAGGTGTCAATGCGGTGACAAATAAACCGTTAAGTCAGGCGAGAACGCTGACGCTGAGCAATACAGAAGCCCCAGAGTTTCCACTCTTGCCTCAATCAATCTTACACATTCTGAAAGAAGTAGTGGATATACAGTACATGAACATATATCGAGTCAAAGTGAAGTGGCAGGCTCATGCATTTTTTCTCTTGGTATGCCAAACTGTTTTATCTGCAGTTTGTTGTTTCCTGAGGAGCTGTGGCCATCAGAAAGCAGCAACAATTATAATAAGTGCACAGCGCTTCCCTGAAGGCCATTTTGCGCCATTGTTGCTCTTTTGATCATGCTAACGTCGCACTTGCCAATCTTTGTTATATACCGGTAGATTCAGGAAAATGTGATATTGTGCCGAACATATTTTTGTGGCAAGCTTCCTAAGGCTTTCCAAACAAACATGATTTTTACATGAACCCTTTTCTTTTCAACAGCAGGTTGAAATATACAGAAATGTTCCTTTAAGGGATTTTATATTATCTTTAAATCCCGAGAAAAAACATTGAGCAATAACCTGCAGCCAGGTGCAGGAAGTCCTTATGCTGACTGACGGTGTGTAAAAGAAACAAGTTGTGCTTCTCCTCTTACTGCAGCAGATGGGTAGAGGAGACATCTGCAGTGTGTACTGTGTGTGCAATACATCTCTAACTTTCTCACCCCCCCCCGCCTCTGTCCCCTTAACCCTCGGGCTAAACACACTTCATTGTCTTCCTCATGTTGACTCGCAAGAAAAACTGTCACCAGCGCTCCAGCCCTGTGCCATCATCTGGCTCCTCAGAGGGAAGTGGTGGCTCTGTGTGTGTGTTTGGTTGTTGTGGTTTGCATGTGTGTATGGTGGGTGGGCTGCCATCCCTCTGTGTCTGTTGAACTGATTGGCGTGACAGCAGAGAGCGCATACACTAATCTCATGTGCCAGGTCGAAGGCATGGCACGGGCTGCTATCACTTCCACAGATAAACAACCAAGTAGTACAGAAGTAATGCTGCCGCGGTAAGTCAGCTGACTCAATAAGTGACGCTGAGGGACAGAGTTTTTCTGTGCAGAGGAGGCAGCGGCTGACGGGGGACGATCACCAGAGGGTCACACGTTCAACCCCAAGCGAAGTGCACATTTTTGACTTGAGAAAAACCAGGACAGCATCGCTGGGAATTACATCCATGTTTGGTTGTTCCTGCAGCACGAACATTACATGTGATGCCCTGTCTCCTAGAAATGATGTCCATATACTAGTAGGCAATTTTACAAGACAAGTTTAGGATGAAACATAACATCTGCCTGAATGTGCTCACTGGGAATGATTTTGTTCCATTCCAAGGCACGAGACTTGGACACTGCAGACCAAAGTGTCTGGTTGGTTCAGGCACCGAAACACTTCATCAGAAGAAAATTATATTTTTCATTTTGATTACATTTTGTTCAAAAGGAGTTAAATGCTTGCCACATACAGTGTGAATGCCATTCCAAAAATAATCGTCAGTTTATTTAAAGGTGGGGTAGGTAAGTTTGAAAAACCGGCTCGAGATACACTTTTTGTTATATTCCATGGAATGCTCTTAACATCCCGATAGCAATGAATATCTTAAGTCCTTTGACAATAAATCCATAAAATTCTTTCATCTGTGGAAGCTGTAGCGCTGTAAAAAGCACGACCAATCATCTGAGCCGGCCTGGCCAAAGTAACTGGATGGCCTACCTGCCTGTCAGCCTTCCATCTGTGCACAAACCTATCTCGTGCCCTCATTGGTCATGTGCGCGTTCGTGTGTGTTGGAGGAGGGGCTCTGTAAGGAAGTGGCAGATTTTCTCCGGTTGTGTATTTTCAAATTCTAGCGCACTCGAGCTGGTTTCTCCAAAATTACCTACCCCCCCTTTAAGTGATTGAAGCAAATAAACGACCAAGCTATTTATTGCAGTTTTACAGTATGCATAGTTTCTTCCTAGAGTCAAATATGTTGTAGGGGAAACGGTCAATTTCTTTGTACGGCGCTGCAATTCAAAAAGATTATTTGCCATCCATCACAAACCAACAACTTTTTGTGTTTTTTTAATTAAATATAAACAAATCTTCTATCTACCCTTAAATAAGCTGTAGTTACTATGTGTAGATATATCTGTAAACTTTCAAAATGTTGAAAGTAAATCACCTTTTTCCAGTATAACCGTTCTAAAAGGCAATAGGTCCAAGCCACGGCACACACACACACACACACACACACACACACACACACACACACACACACACACACACACACACACACACACACACACACACACACACATAAATTAAACACAGTACGCACGTTTTGTATTAGCTGGTAATTTGGCAGTCACACTTGAAACACGAGACGGAGCCTGGTGATTTTCTGAGTTGCAAAATGGACACATGAATTAAAGGCTAGGCTATTTTAAGTGTAGCCACAACACATTTGTATTACCAGGCTCTGTTCTTAAAGTCATTACAGTGCCACTCACCCCAAGCATACACAACCCCCTACCCCGAATCCTTTTAGGAAGCACTATACCAGCTTTTTATTATACAGGAAAGCTGTACTGATATGTGTACTATATGCTGGTAATCATGCTGCAGAGGGGGTTAAAGGTCATACTCAAGGGCACGCTATCAGCAGTTGTCAATGGAGTACGAGATTCCCCTGCTTCATTTGAAATAGATGATGAAACCTGACAGCATAAATCATGAATATCGCAGCGGTGACACAGGTGGTTTTATCGCGCATTTTTATCACATATTCTCCCAATAGCACAGAGATAGAAACATTAAATCAAAGCAGAAATGCAAGCCTGCATCGTAGAAACGTGTTATTAATAAAGGGGCTAGGAGCATGGCGGCTGACATTAGGGTGACATTGTGCACATAAACATCTGTTGTGTTTTGTCAAGACAGGCTGCTCCCTGGGGTCCCTGCTGCTTAGCGTCATCAAATCCATGTGGGTTTATCGCGTGGGAATATTTTTGTTTGTGTGTGTTGCATTGCAATACATGCAAGAATGAATTTGTATGCCAGTTGTGGCTGTGTGTGTGTGTGGGCTTATGTGTAATGGGCTAATTAAGTCATGCACAACACACATAATCTCTCCTTGAGGGAGGAAAGCAGCCAGCAGTGGTTTAAGCGAAGGGTCCGGACATATGGCTTCTCGTGGGATACACACTGTAGCACCCAACCCCCCCACTAACCAATCTCCACATCCCATTGGGCCCAGCAAGGGATGGAGAGGCAGGAAGTAAACAAGGTGGCTTTAGGGACCACACGGGTCACACTTGGATTGAATGAGGAAGACAAACATATATCAGGTCATATCTAGGCAGAATAACATGCTTGATATCAAAATAAGACAGGACAGGTGCAATGGCTTTGTTCCAATGGCCCATTATGTCCAATAATTCAAAAAATGTACCACTGGACCAAAAGACCAACTTTCTGACAGTAA